CCTCTGTCTTTTCTATAAATATTTTCAGGCTGTTCTGAGGAGCTATTTTCATTGATAACCCGACTGCATGAATTTAAGCGTGCTACTAAGTTGGCATCTTGGTCCCACCCTTTTATTGTCAAAACAGTTAAATCTAACCGCCTCTTCAACTCCAACAGCCTCTTCTCTCGCACTTCTCGACAGTGGAACTCCCTTCCTCTTACTTGGTTCCTTGGTAACTATAATCTTCAAAAATTTAAATGCAATGTCAATCGATATCTTCTGTTGTCTTGATCCTCGTTCTTCTTTTTATCCTTTCCTCCCCCCCATACCCTGTCTTTTCTCTTATTTTCCCTCTCAGTAACTTGCTTGGGGTGAATTACTTAAAAAAATACTCGGAAATAATTTTGGGAATAATCAAAATCAATTGCGAAATCCAGAGAAAGTCACCCCTGAAATAAAAATAATTGTTTGTATGGAAAGTAAGGACCTACGCACATCAAATATTCTTTAAATTAAGGGGCGACAGAAGAATTATCGTTGAACTTTTAAACGGTAAGCTTAAATATTAATGCAATACTTAAATGCAGCAATCAATTATGAACTCACAATTATTATTCTGCCAAATTCACGAGCCAAGGCCTTAATCCACTTAACAGAATTTAGCTTAGCAGAACTTCCATGGTACTTTCCTCGTCCAGCCAGAACCAGAATCGAGGAACAAAAAAATTAAAGTAGTCACCTTGCTCCGGGCAACAACTTTCACATTGTTTTAAATACAGGAGAGTTAGAGTTAATTCCTGGCGTTCCAACAGCGGAACAACGGTGAAGTTTAAACAGTTGACCTCCCTGACTCCGTTAAACCTCGACTGCAAACACGACCCTGTGCCAGTTTCTATTTGAATCGTCGTGCGTTTAAATACCTAATGCTACTACTGACACGATTTCATTTACTATTACTACTGCTACTAAGACGAAAATTCCTACTACTTCTGTTGCCTTAACTATGATTGCATTATTAATTCTGAAACTATACTCGATTCTTAGCCGCCTTATTACGATTATGACCATTCTGATGATGATTATAACTCTAATTAATAATGATAATATCTTTCAATGTTGAAAGAAGGAAGCCAAGAAGTGAAACGCTTGAAAGGTTTTGGAAACAGAGATTGACGAAATGTATAACTAGAGAGAAAGGAGGAGCTGGGACTTATTAGATAGATAGAGAGGGAAAAACCCCAGAAAGAATGAAAATGTGTGTGAGGGAGAGAGAGGAACAGATGGAGAGAGACAATATGTATAGAATAATATTAAAAGGACATTTCGGCAAAAAGTGACATAGGCACAAAGACAGAGAAGACGCACAAAGCACACACATACGAACACACATACGCACACACAGAGAAGGGTAGAGAGAGAGAGGGAAAGAGAAAGAAAGAGAACATGGAATTATGAGAACCTACCTCTCTGTAAGTGTGTGTGTGTTTATAAGATTATAGTTCATACGCCCACCATCACACACACACACACACACTAAATCAAAGCACCTTGTCTGTCATATTCAATGAAACGTGCATGACAGAAGGATTGCTGCCTAAATTCACAAATATATATATATAATACAAGTAAAAGGTTTGTCACTTATCTGATTGATGTTGCCTTCAGCATCTCGACTCCAGAGTTTCGTAGACGTACTCTCCGGAGATGACTCCGTCCAATCGTCAGAGGATATCAGCAACTGACTGCTTATACTTATAGATTTTTCTTTTTATATGCACTTTTTGTTGGTCCAAAGTTTTTTTTTATAGTGTATGTGTGCGGGCAGGCATGTGGGTATGCGTGTGTGCATTTGTGCACATGCGACCGTACGTCAGTCTGAGCGTATGTGTAAATGTGTAGATTGCCGTGATTATTTGCCTTTTCGTCGTTTTTTTGTTTTTCACTTTGCATTCACTTTTTAAACTTTTCTGTCCTTTTCGCTTTTTCCTCTTTGTTTTCATTTGTTGCCATTTTGACTCCGGGTTTTCTAAACAGGGAGAGAGAGAGAGAGAGAGAGAGAGAGAGAGAGAGAGAGAGAGAGAGAGAGAGCATAGATTATGGTTTGATAATCACTATGCCAATTGATTACGATGTCTATACTCATGATTTATAAAAACGCTGTCACGAAATTTGATCACTCTTCCAGCTGAAATACAGCAAAGCTTTTACAATATATAATGGACATCACACCATCACACACACACACACACACACACACACACACACACACACACACACACACACACACACATATATATATATAGCAATTTTCTAAAGAAATACTGAATTTTTAAAAATTTATTAATCCGACAGTTTTTATCATTTTAAACGTTATTTTTAGTGTATATTCGTATTTGAGTAGACGGTTCGATTTATTTATTTTCGTCTACCGGCCTGAATATTCGAGAAATCTTATTAAAGAAAATATACGCTTTCTGACAGTATTCGACTCTGTGTCCGCCTCGACAAAAAGAACTGTGGTTAGATCCGACGTGGTGTAGACCGACTGAGCTACAAAGAATAGTTGAAAAGTGAAAATGAAATTCCTCTTGTCATAGAATCCCTCAGTTTCGTATCAAAAGGTAAACAAAGCAATTTTCTAAAGGATACGAACTTGCGTCCGCCTGGACAGAGAGACCTGTCGTTAGATCCGACGTACGCTAGACCAACTTTATATATTTATATATATATATATATATATATATATATATATATATATATATATATATATATAATATATATTTAAGCCTGAAGGTTTAAATTTTTTACCCGAAACTTTATTTAAAGAAAATTAAAAACACAAATAATGCTACCAAAACTTTTTTACCAGAATTAAAAAAACAATTTTTCGGCGTCAAAATGTTATATTTTTTTTTTAGTATGACATCACATAAGTGACATTATGGTTAAAAGGTCACGTGTTTTAAAGCATGTCTCCTCCTTGGGGAAAGTCCCTTGTTATATAAAGGTCTTATCTCACTCTCAGTTATTAAATTAAAAATTAAATTACGATAATAAAATTAATAACTCAGTGAGATTTTTTAATTATTAATATAATAATAATTTTATTAGTTATTATCTTAGTTATTAAATTAAAAATGTAATAACTTAATGTAATATTAATGATTAATAAAATTATTTATAATTATCTTATCTATTTAATAATCAAAGAGATAGATGTAACTCAATAATGTAAGAAATTTTTATAGTATTTTAAATTATTATAAGAAACAAAAAAAAAATCGTTATGTCACCTTTGATGCACCGTACTAAATCTGTCAATACCTTCAGCCTTCAAATTATCGATGGAGACGTGAAAATAACAAGGCCCTAAGGTCAAGAAATGTTTGTCTAGAAAATTTTATGCTATAAGTAAGTGATTTCTAATTCAAAATAGATTAATTTAACTGAATTTGCTAATTTTATGAAAGTAACGTTTCAGAAATATATATCTTATTTTAGCGGGAATTTTAAAACTGAAAAATAAGTTCGTTTACATTTCTAAAAATTAAAAATGGCCGTTTCAATTGGTTTTGTCGGAAGTATCGATTAAAAATCATTCAAATTCCTATTTGAAATACTCCACAGTATTTTTTTCTGTAATTAGAAAATCTAATCCTTTAGCTTTCAATTGAAGCGGCTGGAAAGCTTCGAAAAGGATTTTTCCTTTATGAAAAATACATTTAAACCTTAGATAAACAAATTTTTGGAGGTACCTATATATATATATATATATATATATATATATATATATACACACGCATATATATGCATGCGAGTACATGGTTTGCCACTTAGCCGTATGATGTTACCTTCAGCATCCCGACTCTAGAATCTCGTAGACGGAACTTCTAGCAATCATTCCATCCACTCGCCTGGAAATATTCAGGACTGAAGACATACGCTCTATCTCTGATATCGAGCAATTTTACCCATAAATATAGCATGCGTTAAAACTATTTTTTTTATATATATATATATATATATATATATATATATATATATATAATAATAATAATAATAATAATAATAATCGACTAATAATGGACTCTCCCGTCGGTTTCGACGTATGAGAATCTGACAGCTTAGTTGATTCAGTTCTGAAATTTTGTGCGATAATCTTAAGTGGCATTTAAGATCCGTAGTGATTTACAAAGGAGGCCACATTCATCTTAATTTTTTATATATATATATATATATATATATATATATATATATATATATATATATATATATATATATATACTGCTACATAGTGCATACATTTAGATGCGTAGTATTTACATAATATGTCAATTCTTACCTGTCTTTAATTTGTATATCCATATTTATACTATAAATAGATAATGAAAGGAATTAGATAGATACTTTTCTTCTGTGTGGTGTGTCCCTTCAGGATGTGGGCGATCATGACTCTCCACAATTTCCAGTCCTAATCTCAGTTCTGTAAACCAAATAGGTAGGTTTTACGCTATTTCCTTTTTCCGTCTTGCCTTCAATATGTCCTGTGCGTGTCAAATTTTCTAAGCCATCTTTCCCCATTGTGTGTCATAGAAATTACAACTGTCTCTTTATAATTCTAAGTAGGAGAATCATTTTTGTCTTCCATTTTTCTAAAACTCCACCGTGGCTCACATGTTTAGTATATGGTATTCTCAGCATCCTTCTGTAGAACTATATTTGTCGCCTCAAATCTCGTCTTCATCTGTAATTGGATTGTCCAGTATTGACCGGCATATAGAATGAGCTATATTGCATAACATTTCAGTAGTATTTTCTTTCTGTCTAATGAAATTTTCCTGTTTCTTAATAATTTGCTTAGCTTTTAGAAGGTACTTTTCGCTATCACAATGAGGTCTGGGATTTCGATGTCGCATGTTTCGACCTCTGTTTAGACACTTCTTAGATATTTAATTTTTTTTACTTCCTTGCTTTTGGTATTTCCAATTTGTAATTTATATGATAGATAAAAAGAGAAC